AGTTCAATTGTTAAATGAGCCCTGTGGCCTCAATATGTTAATCATTTGGTGCCATACTTTTCCTTGTTCAAGAATGTTACAGGTTGACTAAAGGCTTATTTCAGGTAATTTTGAATTTAGAGAATGTTTTTAAAATCCAATAGTATATTTCACTTTTGTTTTTAGCTCATTATTTTAAATATTAAATGTTAAAAATGTAGTATGCAAACATTAAATATATACTACATATGAGAAAGGGCCTTAAAAATTATTTTATCCACTCTTCAATCCCATATTCCCTTCTGCATTGTTCCTAACAAATAGTTTAACATGCTGAGCCATTCAGTCCACTATTGTGTAAGACAGCCCTTTGTAATATGGAATTATTTCTGTTTCTAGTTTTTCTTATTCTTGGGATGAAATCTACATCTTTATGATTCAAACACATTATTATGTTTTCTTCCTTCTGTATTCAAAAGTTTCAAATATTTGAAGATTGTTAATTGTATTGACTAATTGTTAGGCTAAGCATACCAAGTTTTCTCTTTATTTCATCATGTGGCATCCTGGAACTCTTATGAATGTTTTGTATTTTTTTAGTGTTTCCTCTCAATATACATCCATAGTAAGGTACTACCTGAATTATATGGATATACAGTGTACTCTTCTTCACTTGCATTATAAACTAGATGAGAAGTAGGTATATATTACATTGTGTATAATATATATAGGCCTAAATACTACGATAATCTTAGTTATAGTATTTCAGTTTTATTTTGTAATTAGAATAACAGTTGTAAATGGTTTACTCTTCTTAATCCAGTTGCATATATGATTAATTGAAGTTGTCATGTGTTCTCAAGGATAATTTAAATGGACATAGGATTTGTGAAAAATTGACAAATCCTAACTGTAACTCAGCTAGTGGGCAACATTATAATTTACTTATAGCTGTACAATATAGTTTTTAATGAACTAATATAGAAAAGTGACAAATTGTATTATTTTTATGTGAAATTATACTGCATGACAAAGGTTGGCATAATGTAATAAATACCCACAAAATATTAACCTACTTGCAATAAATACAATTAATAATGTACATAAAAGAATGAAATTAAGCTTATTTTCTATCAGAAAAAGAATTATTCATGAACAGAAAGTGGACAGCATAGATTAGATGACAGGAAGATTGTATATAATCTGAATTACTGAGTGACCTAGAAAGCTTGCTCAGAGGGATTACAGAATAATTATGTTAATATGCAATTATCACCTCATTTCTTCTATAGTAACCTCAAGATGTAGTGTAGTGAGGGTGTTATAGCAAGTGCTGATAGTTTGCAAAAATACTGATGTTTGAAATTTCTGAGACAATAAGTCTAGCTTCAGGCATATAAGTGATGATCTGTCATCTTGAAGACAGATCTGACCTTTGTGCTTTTTTTTTAAATGCTCACAGTATATAACTACAGGCAGTTATAGCTGTAGAACTCATTATGGTTTTCTAGACAGTGAAATATGTTTTATGTAGATTTAAAATTCCATTTACAGCTTTTTATAAAGTGTGTGAGTTTTCTAAAAGAACATTTTTAAAATTCAGTTAAAAGAAAAATTCTATGATTATGTGATTACACGAAGAACACAGTGACACAGCAAATTCATTGAAATTTAGGGGTTCCAAACAATATATAACATTAGTTTGTTTATTAATTCCCTTTTTTAAACTTAATAATGCCTATCTTCAAGTATATCCCTTACTTAATAATAATATTAACATAAAATGGTGTTGGTGGCTCTGTTATGTATATTTGACTATGTAAAGACAGTTGAAAAAACTATATGAGAGTGTGAAATTAGCTTACAGTTCAAATTCTTTCTTTCCTGATGTCACATAATCAGCCATGAATGTAGGGAAATAATTTTTATGTTAAAATTCTAGATCCATTCAATACAACATATTTTGATGATCCATTTTTTTGCATTGTATCTCAGAGCAACAGCTGAGTCTTGAATATTATTTAAAATGTATTTTGAACATTTTCAGTTAAAATAAATTCTGAAAATTAAAACAGGAAAATTGTTCATTGTTGCTAAAATACCAGCTTAGTGAGTGAAGTGCTTATAAGTGCTTATAACCTCTTATTTAACTGATGGAGTAGCTTTTAATATTTGTGTGTTAATAATAAAAATTCTGAAAAAGAGTAACTTCTCTGTTTTTGAGTAGAGATTGACAATCATTAGTTTGGGGGGCAAGTCGTATATTTCATCGTAGTAAAACTTTGATTATTAAAGACCTCATTTTATTTTTTTAAATACTTAATTTGATCTTTTGTTTTTCTGTTTGCTGGATGTATTTTGTAAAGAAAAGATCTGTTATGTACATATGTTCTTTTTATGTTTCTGAGCAAAACAGTTTGATATCTTCAGAATGTGAACTTATGTAAGGCTCTTACAAAGCCATTCTGGTAATGAGGATGCAGTCTCCAGGCCGACATGAATGTAGTTTGTCACCTGCTGTTCAGGGGTTACCAATGAAGTTGCTTTAAATGGGAAACGTCTGTTCTATCTCTGAACCTCTAACACCAGAACAGATGGGTAGAACATGGAACATGGAAGGTTTTACCTCTGAGGTGGTAACAGTGAAGCCACTCATTAACACTGAATTTACCACTTCGTTAGCAACGTTGCTTCCTGTTGAGAAAAGCTAATATAGGCTTTCAAATTGACTGAGCATATATTTGTCTACCTCTGTGATTATAATAAGTAGGAATAAAAAGTAAGTGTCTTTCAGTCTTTTTTTTAACAAATTTTGTTGTTCATTTCAGATTTATCTAAGATTGTTCCTATTTAGAAATTTGACTTTTCATACCAAATGTAATGAGAAATATCAGGAATGGATAATAGTATATCATCAGTGTTTGCTTTTCTTTTCACTGACATTTGCACACTCTATCCTAACACATGTTTATGTGCTGCCCACTTTTAACTTCTGTGTATGTGATGAACAGACTCCTGCTGGGTGCTGCATTAGCACCATTTTGGGGTGATACCATTGAATATGATCTTATTGAAAGTCTGTTTTTATTAATTTGGAAGTTTGCCAATCTCAGAACAGAATTCTAAGACCTATGAGGGGTGGAAAAATGATTGTTGGTATAAATAATAATGCCAAAGAAAGATATTTATAATGTATGTTGTATGAAAGAACACATCTGTTCATAAGATAAGGTTGTATTTATAAGTGTTTGTCCCAAGTTCTGAAATAAAGAAGTAATTAGAAAATTTTTTATTTTTGAATTAAAAATGTATTTTCAAAATTGATAACCTAGAAGATATTAGAAACAATAAGCTCTATTGAAAATGTTTTATTTCTAATTTTTGGATTGTAACTTCCTACTGTCTTAAAGTGCTATTACTCATTATACCAATTTAAAATACTATAAAAATGGAAGATTTTATTCTTTATCTAAGAGGAGGTACCTGGTCTGTCTTGTTTACAAATGTATCCTTAATACTAGAGCAATGCTTGGCATGTAGTAAAAGCTCAATAAACATTTGGAGAATGAATGAACTGTACTTACTACTGTGTGCAAAATGAAAAGAAATACGGGATTTTATGCTAGTACTTCAAATAGTTAAAACCTAGGGTTTCCAAATACTGGGTTCTTTTAAGTTGTACTTGAGGATTATTGGATATTTTAAAGGCCTTGCTATAATAGGTGAGTCAAAAAATTAGGACCACAGTGAAATTGGCATTATTTGAATAGGCAACCCAGATTTCATAGAAAGAAAACTGTTTAGTTTTTCTATACTTTAGGAGCTTTTGCTTTGGTTTTAAAGTTGTGTTTTTATTCATTCAACAATATTCCTTTATTCAACGAATTCTGCTTGAGGATCTATACCAAGTGCTATGTTAGGTTTCAGAGATATGAATATCACTAGATCACAGTCCTTCTAAGAACTTATATTCTTTTAAAAAGACAATCCCTGTATAATGTGGCCATTTCTAAATGCAGAATGTAAGGGAAATCTTACTAGTAGGGGCAGTAATTATAGCCATGGTATGTAAATATGTCTCCCAAACTTTCAACAGTCTTTTAAAAAAACATTCTGTCTTCTCATAAAGATTACATCTATTGTCAAAAATGACTAAAATTTTGTAATCTACATTTTAATATGAAGTAACCTAAAGTCATAAAATACAATGTTTCAGAGTAAAAGTTTTAGGCCATTGCCATAGACTTTCAGATGACAAATGAGATAACTACCGTTAGGGAATGCCTAGAATTTTGCGGCTCAGGTTATGAAAATTTAAAGTTACATAAAATTTTATTAATTTTAACTTTAATAATTTAGAGCTAAGGGTAATTTATATATGGAATGAACAAAATTCTGTGAATAAGACATTTTTAAATTAGAATTTTAGGAGAATGAAACATTGAAAGCAAAACAGCCTTAAATTAAAAAAAAAAAAAAAAATGTTAGATACATTAGCCATTGATGTTGATAGCAAGTAAGTTTCTTTGCTGAACAGTGTCTTTTACCTTCCTTCAGGAATGAACTCTTAAGTGACAATACTTCTTTGAAGTATTTAACAATTTACATTACTCTCTAGTATAGTGGGACTGTCCCTAATAAAAGTAAGATACTTTTCTTTTTATTAGCAACCTATAAATGAGATTTTAAAGTTCTTTTTACCTGTAGCATATTTATTTATATCGTGTGTGTCTGTATATGTGTTTATGTTGCTTTTTCCTAGAGATTTGGGTATATGTGGTATTGAGTTGTTGCTGAGCACAAAGAAAAATTAATCTTTGAGACACTTTTAAAGTCTTTCAATTTTTAATAGTATTTCTTTATTCTTAGGAAAATTTTAGGACTTCAATGTAAAGAGTATAATTAAGCTAATAAAAGTGTACTTTCAACTCTCCGTACATTCTAATACTATTTTTTCATGCAAATCTAAATTTTTTTTTTCCGTTTTCTAGACTAAATGTGTTAAATGGCTTGCCAACAATATGGATGATTTGAAGATAAACACCGATATTACTGGTGCTAAAGAAGAACTCCTAGGTGACAACAATTTTATCTCAGACAAAGAGAGTGGAGTTCATAAACCAAGAGATTGTCAGACATTTCAGAATAGTAGCACGTTCACTCTGCCTGAAGAATTGTCGAAGGACAAATCGGAAAAAGCCTTAAGTGGAGGCCAGTCTGCTCTATTTATACATGCTGGTGCTCCTACTGTTTCTAGTGAAAACTTTATCTTGCCTAAAGGAGCTGCTGTTAATGGACCAGTTTCACACTCCTCCATAACTAAGACTTCCAATATGAATAAAGGCAGTGTTTCATTAACCACTGGACAGCCTGTGGATCAGCCAACAACAGAATCTTGTTCAACTTCGAAGTTGGCAGCTGATCTTCAGCTGTCTACACCACAGAAAGCAAGTCAACACCAAGTTTTGTTTTTGCTATCAGATGTACCACATGCTAAGAATTCAACCCATTCCATTAAAAAACTACCTACCTCTGCTTCAGTTGGTTGTGACATTCAGAATTCAGTAGGGAGTAGTATAAAGTCAGATAGCACTTTAATAAACCAAGTAGAGGTGGGTGAGGATAGTGAAGATTTATTGGTAAAAGATGATTGTGTCAATACATTAACAGGCATTTCCTCAGGTACAGAAGAATTTAGGTCAGAAAATGATACAAACTGGGACCCCCAAAAAGAGTTCATTCAATTTCTTATGACTAATGAAGAGACAGTGGATAAAGCTCCAGTTCATTCTAAAGTTGGTCTAGAAAAAAAGAGAAAGCGAAAAATGGATGTAAGCAAGATAACGCGTTATACTGAGGATTGCTTTAGTGATTCTAATTGTATACCCACTAAGTCAAAGATGTTAGAAGTAGACTTTTTGGAACAGAATGAAGGACTGCAAGCAATAGACTCTCAGAAATATGCATTATCAAAAGTGAAGCCTGAATCAGCTGATGAAGACGTGGAATCTGTGGATGCTTTTCAACGTCTAATTTATAATCCTGATAAGTGTGGAGAAGACAGTTCATCTGTTCATACTAGCACTTTTCTTTCAAGTACCTTAAAAAAAAAATGTGAAGAAAATGATTCCGAGTCACCTGCTACTTTCAGCACCGAAGAGCCATCATTCTACCCCTGTACAAAGTGCAATGTGAATTTTAGGGAGAAAAAACACCTCCACAGGCATATGATGTATCATTTAGATGGAAATAGTCACTTTCGCCATCTTAATGTCCCAAGGCCATATGCTTGTAGGGAATGTGGGCGGACATTTCGAGATCGGAACTCACTTCTGAAGCATATGATTATTCACCAAGAAAGAAGACAGAAGTTGATGGAGGAAATTCGTGAATTAAAAGAGCTTCAGGATGAAGGAAGAAGTGCACGATTACAATGCCCTCAGTGTGTATTTGGTACCAATTGCCCTAAAACATTTGTGCAACATGCTAAAACCCACGAAAAAGATAAAAGGTACTACTGCTGTGAAGAATGTAACTTCATGGCAGTTACAGAAAATGAACTGGAATGCCATCGAGGTATTGCCCATGGAGCAGTGGTAAAATGCCCTATTGTCAGTTCTGATGTAGCCCAGAGAAAAACGCAAAAAAAGTCTTTCATGAAAGACTCTGTTACAGGATCATCCAAAAAATCAGCTGCCTACACGTGTAAGATGTGTCCTTTTACTACTTCAGCCAGAAGTATTTTGAAAAAACACATGGAATACTTGCATTCATCATCATGTGTTGATTCATTTGGTCGTGCTCTCGGACTTGGTAAAAGAAAAAGTAACATCATTGAAGAACCTGAAGACAATGAGAGCACTAAACCATTAAACAAGCAACAGTCAGCCACATTTCCAAAGAACTCTGCTTTAAAACAAGATGTAAAGCGAACATATGGATCATCACAATCAAGTAATTTTTCAAAATTACATAAGCGGCCACATAGAATACAAAAAGCTCGGAAAAGCATCTCCCAGTCAGGTGTTGTAAATGTGTGCAATCAAAACAATTCTCATAAGACTATAATGATTAAAAGCAGCATTGACCAAAAACCTAAGTATTTCCACCAAGCAGCAAAAGAAAAAGCTAATGCCAAGGCAAATAGCAACTATTTATATAGACACAAATATGCAAACTACAGGATGACCAAAAAATCAGGTGAATCATATCCGCTGCATTTCAAAAAAGAAGAAGCTGGTTCATTAAATACTTTACATCTGTTTTCATCATCAAGTAATTCTCACAACAATAGTTTTATTTCAGACTCTCACAACTCTAACACCAAAAAGCCTGAAAGCTTCAAAGACCGCAGGCGTGTATCTGCAAAGAGAGCAGTCAGGGAATCTAAGAAGGGAAGTTCTGCTGGAGGGGAAGACTTAGATAGCTATCCAGATTTCTTGCATAAAATGACTGTTGTTGTTTTGCAGAAACTTAATTCTGCTGAAAAGAAAGATAGCTATGAAACAGAAGATGAAAATTCCTGGGATAACGTTGAGTTAAGTGACTACACTACACGGGCTATAGAAGATGAAACTTATAACGGTATTAATCAAGAACATTTATTTCCTCTATTTAAAAGCAAAGTGGAAGGTCAAGAGCCTGGAGAAAATGCTACACTTAGTTATGATCAAAATGATGGCTTTTATTTTGAATATTATGAAGACGCTGGAACTAATAACTTTTTGCATGACATACACGATTCTCAGCATTTAGAAAATGCAGAAACTTCATTGTCAAAACATGGTTCTGTTTTTCATTGGAGTGATTTGTCTCTTGAGAAGAAATCATGTCCTTACTGCCCAGCAACATTTGAAACAGGTGTTGGATTGTCTAATCATGTTCGGGGACATCTTCATAGAGCAGGATTAAGCTATGAAGCCCGTCATGTTGTATCACCAGAACAAATAGCCACCAGTGACAAAATGCAGCATTTCAAACGAACTGGCACAGGGACACCTGTTAAGCGAGTTAGAAAAGGTAAGTTTTCCTATAGATACTTTGGGCTAATGTGTCTGTATTCAAATTCAAAGGATTTAAAAGTTTTACTCAAAGTCAATCTTTATTAGCATCACATAATTTCATATTTCAGAGTTAATTGGCTTTAAGATGGTCAGTTTATAAAAAATTCTGATATTACTCTTAAAAAATTTTTTTTAGCTATAGAGAAGTCTGAAACCACTTCTGAACACACTTGTCAGCTCTGTGGAGGTTGGTTTGATACTAAAATTGGATTATCAAATCATGTTAGAGGCCACCTGAAGAGACTTGGAAAGACCAAATGGGATGCTCACAAATCTCCAATCTGTGTTCTGAATGAGATGATGCAAAATGAAGACAAATATGAAAAAATCTTAAAGGCATTGAACAGTCGTCGTATTATTCCCAGACCATTTGTAGCTCAGAAACTTGTATCAAGTGATGATGACTTTCTATCTCAAAATGTTATACCTCTTGAAGCATACCATAATGGCCTAAAGACTGAAGCTTTATCAGTGTCTGCATCAGAGGAAGAAGGGCTGAGTTTCTTAAATGGATATGATGAAAAAAAACCAGAACTGCCCAGTGGGAAAAGGAATCAGTCTCTTACATTGATAGAACTGCTTAAAAATAAAAGGATGGGGGAAGAAAGGAGTTCTGCTGTCTTTCCTCAAAAGATCCATAATCAAACTGCAAGAAAGAGATTTGTTCAGAAATGTGTTCTTCCATTAAATGAAGATAGTTCGTTGATGTATCATCCGCAAAAAATAGACTTGACTATGCACTCAGGTAAGAGGACATTTAAATTATCTTAAATAATTTAAACAACTTACTTATGCTTATTTTATTGGGATATTTATAGAAAATACTGTCTTTGAAGCTTCTCAAGCTGCTTTTTTTGCAGAGCAGAAATTGGTCATATTGTTACTTCTATAAAAATCATCAGTTGATGCTCACGAGTACTGAATTCTCTGTGCCTCATTTCTTGGTCAAAATGTAAGGTGAGAACAAAAGCAAAAACAAACAAAAAGCTGATCTATAAAAATAAAATTTGCTGGGTCTGGGGCATGTTTCTATGGATGGGAGGTTGACATTCAAAAGCATAACATTACCTAAAAGGCAAAACCTGTCATATTTTTTGCCAGTGATACAAAGCGAAAACAAAAACAAACTCTTTCAACTGAGTGGGTTGGTGTCTGTTGTGTGTTGTGATGAACTGAAAGAAACTTCTCCCTTTCCAGTTTCTCATTGTACCGTGGGATAGTTCGGTTTTGGAGAGCTGTTGTATGAAACATTTGTTTGGGGCTTTTGTTTTTACAATCGTGTTCTACTGGAACAGAACAGGTGGTCTAGTGTAGTGCTTGAGCACCAATAGTTTTTTCATTTTCAAAGGAGTATTTTGTATACGTTGGCAAATGATGTGGTAGATAAAGTACCCAAACTTTATTTGGTATTGCTAAGTCTGGTTTAAGAAAAATTTTGTGTGTTTATAGGTTTCTTTTGGAGGTTAAGAATGTTGATTAACTTAGATAGTCTCATCATTTTAGCCTTGAGTTGAATGTGTTAAGGTAAAAGTTGGTCAGTGGGTTAATACTGAATAAAATTACCGTATTGTTGTTGATTTGTTTACTTTGGGCAGACATTAGGAATCCCAAATATTTGTAAGGCAGTTTAGATTTAAGGAAAGATTACCTTGCTCTGTGAGTGGTCTGAAAAATAGTTTATCTTGTATGGGCTTCTGTTAACTGTGTTAACCAAGTTGTAGTATACTTCAAAGAGATAAAGCATAATTGTGGCTGTCATAATGTTGAAGACACCAATTGAAATGTGTTGGGAGAATGAGAGTTGTCTGAGAAATTAGGGGTTTCTTATTGTTTCAACGTGTTTTCTTTCCTGCGATGACTATGATATTAGTTTGTTGATCATTTATTTAACATAATGAATTTAGCAAAAAACTTCGTATCGTTAACTTCCAATATTGATTGCACAGAACAGTGAAAATAAAATGCCCTGAATAAAATGTTGTGTCTAACATCTGTTCAATGGTAGGTTTTACCACCCTTTAACCCAGCCTTCATCAGAAAGCCTAACTTATTGAGCCTTTTATATGGTTTTGTGGGTAAAACACTTCAATTACCACTTCGTTAACTAAACTTTTTAATTTTTTTAAATTGATAATGCTGTGAGCTTTGAAACTTCTCAACAGAACAATGCTATCCAAATCACATGATTGTATTTTAGGTTTAGGAAATGATCTGCGTTAACACAGAAATCTGCAAGAAAGTGATAGTAGGTGTTAAGTCTAGAGAAATTCCAAGGTTCAAGATACTTCTCTTCCACCTTTCCTAAGAGCATGGGTTGGCTCTAAATACTAACTACAAACTAATAATAATTAACTGAATCTCCTCTCCTTAAGCTAATTCAGAGAACGCTTTTTAAACCATCCATATTGTGCTACTTTTCTTCACACTTCTAGCTAAGAAAATTTCACTATTTGAAGTGAGAACTGGATTATAGTTTTCTTTTGAATGATAGGTATGCCTGTGAAGCTTAGAACATGTGTGCATTGCAATACGACGTTTACAAGTGCTGTTAGCCTGTCCAACCACTTACGCGCTTATGTACGAAAGAAGAGTGCTGGAGTTTTGACTGGTACAGGTATGTTTGAACAGATAACACAGCAAGTCTGTTTGATAAATGAGCTTTTTTTTTTTCTCAACAGACTGGTGCTAATTTAGATGATATTTATGGCTTTCTTTGCTACGCAGCAGTTGAGTTTGAATACGTATTAATTTTTGGCAACTTGTAAACTGTTAGATATAAGTTTAAAGAAGTTTTTTTTCTTTTTTGGTGTTTTTTTTTTTTTTTTTTTTTTTTTTTCTTTTTTGGTGTTTTTTGTTTTGTTTTTTGATTTTTGTTTTTGGCTCTTATTGACTTGGGGGGGAAATACCACCCAGTAGAGGGGTGGAATTTTGAGTATATATTATTCCCATTGATCATTAAATTATACTACTTTTGACTCTTAAATTTATTTTTGTTAATAGGTGCTTTTTGGTTAAGAAAAAAAAAGATTGTAATTTTAGCTTGAGGAAATGTTCTATTAGGTAAGAAATGAAATTTCAGCTATGTAGCTTGATTAGAAAACTAAGCAAAATAATGAGTTTTTGTTAGTCTATAGATAAAATCTTTAAAGAGGCAGGCCTTAGTAATGGCCCATATTAACAATTGAATAGATATTTCTTTTAATGCCTCTGCACTGTCTTTAGGATAAATAAATATAGCTATCCACATAAATGTTAACATGCACATTTCTGTGTTGTTTTTGGTTGGTTAGCAGATACCTCTTCATATTGCTAGTTTGTGAAATTTTTATTAGCTTACTCATGTATAGTACTGCTGCTTAACACTACAAAATGTGTTGCTCTTTTCATTTGTCGTTTTTCAAACTACTCTGCTATAGCAAATCCCATTTCTCTAACATCTTAAAATATACTACCTTTACTAAATATATCTACATTAATCCTTTCACCTAAAATTCTCTTTCCAGTCTTATTTCTCTTGCTTTTTGCCTTCTAGTTGTTGTTTCCCAATTTTTTTTGTTTGTTCTTTTCAAGTCTTCCTATGGCTTACACTCAGTGTTTTTACTACCAAAGAAAAACTTGTATTCATACTAGTTGCTTTCTTCTGCTGCTTTGCTTTGTCATTTTACTTGATATACAAATGACCAGGGATGATTGTTGACCATTTATATTAAAAGGAGGGAAATAGAGTTTTACTTCTACTGTGAGATTTTAGTTTTTATTATATTACTTCTACCTTCATCAAGCTTAAACAGTGATTACAGACAGTAGAGGCAGGGAAGCAGTGAAAATAAAAGGCAGTAGAAACAGAAAATCATCATTGTCATTATAATCACTAACTTTTATTGAAAACTTACTATTGTGTCTGGCAGGCACTATGCTAAGCAGCTTTTATATACATAACATTTATCTTTACAACCACAATGAATTGTATGTACTATAATTCTCTCAGTTTTACCAGAAACACCAAAGCTTAGAGAACTTAAGCTTGTGTAGTTATTAATGGCAAATTTGAAATTTAAATCAAGGCTGACTTACTCTAGACCTTTGTTTTAATCATCGCTATCTACCACATATAGAATGAAAGTAATTGAAAATCCTAAAATAAAGTTGGGTTAAGGTGGGGAGCATTCTGGTGAGACTGAATAAACAAGAGTCTAATTAGTAAAAGCAAGGATCCAAAATATGGTTAGGCCTGGATTAGATTTCAGAGGATTTTAGAAAATGTTCTATTCTGTCAATTCCAGATACATTACTCAAATATTCACGAAGTCAGATGTATTAATACAGATTTTTATAGTCCATTAAAAGATGCTTTTACCTCATGTGAAAATCTTGCAAAACATAGAAATAACTGCTTATATTATAAATAATTGATAGGAACTCTTCATTGACCAAGGATGTATTCTAGTGAACATTCTATTGTCTAAAAATTTCATTAGTAGAAGAAAAAGTAATATAGGATGAATGGGAATACATTTCTTTGGGTTTCAGGAATAAAAAAGGCTAGTATCTTTAAAATGTCATTAAATACTAACCAAAATGTTGGCAGACCTAAGATAAAAAGAAGGGAAATGAAAAGCTGAAAAAAGTCTGGGGTATTCCCACAGCCCATACTCAACTTTTAAGAAAAATAAAAAACTCATACTTCATTTTCTTGGAAATTCTGAAACTTTCCCCCTGATTGTTAAAGTCTTCTTGACTAGTAGAGCTATATAGATGATGTCCTTGCTGCTTATTCATGCCAACTGAGAAGTTTTTTTGAGAATCGACCTATGAACCAAGAGGTCCCCATGCCCGGATTGTGGGCTTTATTCCTAGTAGGGGGTGTGCAGGAGGCAACCGATCAATGTCTCTCATCAATGTTTCTATCCCTCTCCCTTCCTTTCTAAAATAAATAAAACCATTTTAAAAAATAAAACATTTTTAAAAATACAACAAATCAACTTCAATAATGATTTTATTTTCCAAATAAGAGAATATTCTCTATTATACTTAAACATCACATTTCTATTCTCTTCCCCAATATCAGTTTCACTGATATAAAGCAGTAGTCCCAACTTATGGTCCTGGAGGGTTCCACCGGTTGTAATAAGGGGAGCTAGACAGAATATGTCTTATAAGGGATCCATCAATTTATATGAGTAAAAAGCAGTATTTTTTAAGAATATGTACATAGTGTTATGAGAAATAAAATACAAAATCATTTTTTTTAAAACCTTATCTTCATCCAATTATATCACAAAACTGGAACAATGTAAAAGGAAAATTGATAAGAGTAAAACCTCCATAAGAATGTCTAGAATCTGTGTTCCTAGTTCAGTCTCCATTCATGTAGATTTTAATTATGTGGCCTACTCTTGAAGAAAAAGCTTAGATATACCTAGACTAAATGCTAAAGGCTGCTTGGTTACCTATGATAGAATAAAAAAATTTCTTAGAAGCCACCAGCTTCTGGCCTGTTCTATGGGAACTGGTGGCCTTTTGAGGAGGGAGGAATATTCTAGCTGGCCTGAATAGACTGAAAAGATACCTCTGTGCTTCCCCAAATAGTTATTTACTAATGACTCAAAAGCTTCTTTTGTGGGTTTGTGCTTTTTTTTTTTTTTTAATCCTTACCCAAGAATATTTTTTCCTTTGATATTTTTTTATTTATTTATTTTTTTTTAGAAATGTGAGAGAGACACATCAGTTGGTTGCCTCTGGCAT